TCTTTTTTTTTTTTTTTTTTTTTTTTTTGAAGAGCAAAAGCCGGTCCCTATCTACCCTAGGATCTAGGTATAGAAACAATCTATTCCCGCAGGCATGGTCGCGTAAACCTGGGTACGACGCCATGATGGTAAGGCGGTATTTCTCTCCATTCCTCCCGCTACCGTACTTGATCACCTGACGCACGTCCCCACCTGCCGCACGAATTTCTGTATGGCAACCAACATTAAAAATGAAGCTTTAAAGCAACATACTAAATAAATTATACTTAGATTTTTTGATGAAGCAGAGATATGATGCTACTAAAGCTATATACAGCTTTTTTTCAATCCCGGAATTGTTGTGGGAGGTGTATTTGTCTTCCATGATGATTTATAGATATATAGCCCTCCCTATTAATCTTAGGCTCTGGAATAGTAATATCTTACTTCTTTTGAGATATAGCTGGCTTAGGACACTTCTTCTTGCCTTTTTAGACTACTTTGAAGTTATTTTAAAGCTGGTTATTAGCTTTCTTAGCCAGGCGCTCTTTCTTCTTTTGGCACTTCTTTTGCTCTGCTTTAAAGAGGCGTAATTCTTTATTAGCTGCTCTGATTTACTTTCTTTTCTTAACTAAGTGTTGCTTCTCTTGCTTCTCTTGCTACCAGTAAAGCTTTTCTTGCTCTTTAGATACCTTAGCAAGCTCTATAGCAGCTTTCTTTTTATTCTGAAGCTGCCGCGCTTGTTGTATCTTGTCTGGTAAATAAAATACAGCATAGCTATTCTCTGGAGCTCTTAATTTAAATAAAAGAGGTTTCTTACGCTGCTGCTTCTTCTTCTTATTCAGAAGAGCATTCTCGAGACTCTCGCAGCGTAGCTTTAGCAAGATATTCTCTGTTAAAAGATAATGTATTATAGAACTAAGTTTTTTTGATCTCTTGTTATAAATATTAGAAATAATCTGTTAAAGAAGCTTTTCAATTCTTCTCCAGTTATCTGCATATAATATAGACTGGGATAACTCACTGCTAGATGGCCGTTGATCATCTTCTTTGCTAAACCGCTTTAGAACAATCTCAGGATCCCAGGGCGATATACCAACAGATTTCCATGTAGAATTGATATTTTTAGATGATAAAGCTCTTTCCCAGCTCGGCTAAAATAGACAGAAGAAGTCATGCTTTGTAATATGACTTAGACCCTGGGATACATGTAAAAAGTTCTCCAATTCATTGCTATAGACTGTAGAAAGCGGCCCGAAGATACTAACATCAAGAGACTGTAGGAAGTGTGTTGAATGCAATAGATAAGTCATTAAATAGATTCAATTCTCTGTACAGAAGTTTATAAACTTCATTATAATGTGGGATCTATGGCTATCAAGAATTAGAAGCCTCCATTATCTCCGTGCCTTGCTCTTTGTCTCCGGATTGAATAGATCTTGAATCTATACAAATCCAATATTATCATTTGTCTAGCCACTTGCTGAAGAGATAAAGAAGCAGCGGTGTTTTGTAGTATCAAAATCCTGGAACTAGGAGTCTTGTAGATTGCTTGAAGCTGCCTGGTAAATAAGTCCCAGTGGTAGAGCTGTTCCATCCACGCAAATACAAGCAATAGTAGTAATCTATTCTCAATTACTATCTTGTAGGCGCTGCTTTATTTTATCCTGCTCATAGCAGCGCCTGGAAAAGATTCTTTTATCCTTAGATAGCACTCCAATAAGAAATTCTTTTTCATCCATATTATACATATTTTCAGACTGTATTTCATATTCCTTAATCTTTCTGGCGAGTAACTTAAAGTATAGAGTATACTTAAATGCAGAATCAGCTCTCTTGCGTGTAGAATCAATCCCAGTAGTATAGCGAGAGATTAGCTTATTTTAATGCTTCTTTAGAAAATGGCTTGGCCAGTGCTTTCCAGGCTTTATTTCTGAGATCTCTTTCACAAAATTCTGAAGCATCTCAGAAGTAGGATATAGGCCTCTCTCAGAGAGTTTATTAATGTAACTTATAAGAGTTTTGGCTTGCTGGCTGTTGAGTAATCGCTGGTTTTTATATTGGTTCTCTTTTGAATGCATAACACCCCGGTGACGCCTTGAGAGAGTTGTATAATTAACACCGAACCTTTTCACCACTTCCGCATATTTAAATGATTCTCCTGGATTTAGGGATTCTAAAAAAGCAAGCGCCTCATCAATTGAACCCATATTAACAGAGTTGTGATGGTTTGAAGTTGAAGTCAAAAAGTCGGTGTATATAGAAATCCGTGCGGCAGGTGGGGACGTGCGTCAGGTGATCAAGTACGGTAATGCGGACGTACTCTGCGATACGATGTCTGCCGAGCCATTTATCGTTTATGTAATATTCAAGATTGTCAAACAGCCAAATGGAAAACGGGCAAGAGGTGACAGTATGGGAATCGTTCCCGCCAACCGATACGTCGAGACCAAAGTCGCTACATCAGCAAATGGAGCGACAAGAACGCCCCCCCGCAAATACTACAGGTGGAGACCGCAGAGCAAGATGTCGGGACACAGCGGTGCTGACGGCAGTCCCCATGGACAGGCCAAATATAAGGAGAAGGGAAGGGGGCATGCCCGCCACTTCATAGACCAGTTTACCACTGTAAGGGCATCATTGATAAGTCCAGTCTCACATGGGTTACCTGTACTATGCCCAAATCTTCGATAATCGAAGGTTAATACATGTATCTTGTTGGGCTGTCCGGCAGGCAGCGCTTGGTGGTTAGGGACTCTATAGCCCGGACCAACAGTGCCCCCGGCGCCATGCACATGATCGATCAATCGGGCTTCTGGATCCTCTCGTAATAGATGAAAGGATAACCGCGACGTGATACCCGGAACGAAGCCAGTCGGTTCCACATTGGGCGACCGCTCATGTTTTCCATACAGCTCAATAGGGAGAATGTGCCACGCGAAAAGCCGTTCACCAGTCGGGTGTCTCAATGTCTCAATCGGAAAGAAGGTTGCCTGATTCTGTAAAAAGCCAAAGGACTCGGGCATATTGAGATCCTTGAACTAGATCATCCGAAAAGCATGTAGGTAAACAACATGGGATTGGACTGTTGACACGGGGAGACAGCACAACAACGTTACGTATAGGTCGACCGCAAACTGTTATTCCAATGCAAGCACATTTGAGAAACGAAGAAGTTGCCACACTACCTGCTATGATAATTTATGGTAATTCCTACCCCATTTTCGAGCGGCAAAATAGGTAAGTAAAGCATGAAATTGCAAGACGAAGTGAGCGTCGACAGTAGCGGGTAGAGGACCCTGGTGCAAAATGTATCTAATATTAGATTAAACGTACTACCTGGCGGTACTTTGCTAGCTACCTGAGAGCTCAAAGTGGTCGGATTATTTGTTACTCTAGATATAGCCTCGTATCACTCCCTCCTTGAGGCAATTCAATGAGCCATGGAAATCGCGAGATAGTTCGTTAAAGTAGGTCATAAAAAATCGAATCACACATGATGCGACGATACAACTGCAAGTATACACCCAATCAATTCAAGATCAAGGTCAACTGTTACTCTGGCCTTGATCTAGAAGACAAGTCTAACCCAGCTCAAAAACAACAATCAACAGAAGTTGGAAGAGCGTAAATCGCTCTATTCTAATTGAAAGGCGCCATCTAATGAATTGACCAAGCCACCCATCTCCATCTAGAGAAAGAACAATTCTCCAATGAGAGATATAGACAAGATAGACAGAACTACCCCACCGAGAATATAGGTGTCGAATGGTGTGGACCAACGTTTGAGTCGGTCAGCGAGACTCTGCTGAGACGTTATGGCGTAGAAATCTATCAGGATGAAAGAGTTAGCGTAAGACCGGCGGGGTCTCTTGGGAAGGACGAAAGGCCGAGCTTACTGTAATCTATCTCCTTGTCGGTCCGAGTTGTATGCGTTCAGCACTGTAGCGGGTTCACCACATGCGTCGCTGCCGATGAGGAATCGGCATTGGAGTCGAGATGCCGAACAGGCTTGATGGAACTTGGAAAGCATTGCTGTGGCTTCTGGCGGATGCATGTTGGCAATACTGTTCCCTATCCATAGGAAGGAGATGACCTGGCCTGGGGCTAGGTTGGGAAGACCGCGAGGACGGGCCGAGGTCGATAGGGAGAGCAGCCACGCCGCACAGTCGTCGTAAGTTCCATACAGACCGTGGATGGAGACGAACTTCGAGTGAGCGAAATCCTGGCGTAGCCTCTGGATGCTTGCGTGGAGTTCAGCCTCGGAGACGTCGAGTGCATAGTAACTAATCGGACGGCGGAGACGGTCAAAGGCCGAAAGGATGATACTTGTTTTATGGAGACTTCCGCAGCCCAATTCAAGAAGGACGCTGCCCGCGGGTGTTATGGATGCGAACTCCTCGGCATACCGCTTGACCATGGCCAGTTCCGTGCGGCTTGGGTAGTATTTTGGATGAAAGGTGAGTTTGTTGAAGTGGCGGATGCCATTGTCCCCCCAGAGTAGGAGAGATGGAAGAAAGGGGGAAGGAGAGCTTAGTCCGGCAAAGATCTCGCTTTTCAAGTTTGTTGTAGGTGGCTGGTGAGGGCTAGCTGTGTCAATGGGGTTCGCAATGGGCATCACTGCGCCGGATTGGAGGTTCGCAAGAAGATCCTGCTTGACCTCCATGCAGGCAGAGAGTGGAGAGGGGCTGAGAAGATGTGGTGAGGATTTGACTGAAGCCATATTGATAAAGTTCTTTGCACTTGAGACTCAGAAGTTTCAAATAAGGGCTAAGGGCTGGGAATCTCTGGAAATCGATAGGTACAATCAAAGTTGTTTGGAGTCGGATTATATAGGAATATATCTCCCATCGCCCAATGTAGAAGGAAATGTAGACGGCAGTCGGCTCGATCGCCATGATGATTAGCACCCAATGGCAGTTCGTGGCGAATGTAACTCTCGACGACGTGACAGGATCACCTATGGCTTCATCGGTATGACGCCACTAGTATACCCTGCAGCTAGAGAGCACTGGCGTTCCAAAACCTGCATGCAGAAGACATATGAAATTCTCCAATAGTGCCATGGTCCGGAATGGACCAGCTGAGACCAGCGGATACGCGTCTTCACACTGCGTGCTCGCAATGGGTTGTAACTATTGGAAGCTATCTGACCTGGATCCACCAACTTGCATAGGAACGAACCTTGCACATTCGTGCCAGAGCAGAAGGCTCACGAGGGTTACATACTTGCCTTATAATCAGAATAACTGAAACTTACATATCACACCATTGCGTCCTGCATATGACAATCAATGGCTAGGTGCATATACAGCCAGCCAGGTGCAAAGTATCAGAGGCTGGCGGGATTTTCCAGAGGGTGGAGCTATGGCACTGGCTGATCCAAAGTGTATCTCTAGTTGCTGAAGACATGTCAGGACTCTGGCATATGATATGCGGAAAAGCACGCCTCAACCGACGGACAGTTTTCATTCATGAACACCATATAGAATACCTCCGCCTCATACGGAATCCATTGGTAAAGCAGGTAGCAAGCGGTCCGGGCAAGATTCCATGATTACTGTGTGTTTCAATTCTTTACTAATAATCTCCGAGATCCCTGTATGTACCCACCATGTTCTGGACTATCATCGCCATGAGCTTGGAAACTAAACCCGCTCAACAGTGGGTTCTATATACGTAATTATTATACCAATTGCGACTTAATTCCGTCCAATCAAGCTGTGATTTTCACAGCCAAGTCGGGCCCTTCCGTGCCACTCAGCTACGGCTGAAGCCTGCATGAATATTTGCTTCTTTTAGCAACGGATATTCAAGGACGCTAAAAAACACAACCAGGTGCGGACACGATGTAAGCACTGTTAGCTGCGATCAATCGAGCTATGATTTGCATGGCAGCTTGCAATCTCACAAATGATCTTCGTTTCTTCGGCCCCACAATGATATTGTTGAATGTAGTGATAGAAACACTTCTTGGTCGGGTATTATGAAGTGACTATAAAGGAGACATTCGCACCTCAGGGTACCGGGTTTGGCATTCGATCATAAATATTTAATAGAACTGTTGACCTGGAAGTACGGAAGAATCAAAGTCTCATATTCAATCGAAAACGGGGCAAGAGAACGGCGAATTGAAAGCGTGATACCGAGTTAATAGCCAACATGGATCTTTCCCCTATGTCTGAGAACCAAACCGAGAGAGTCGAACGCATTTTGAGAAAGTCTCAGCAATGCAACATTGAGACGAGTGAGATAGAGGATATTTACCCCTGCACACCTCACCAAGTGGAAGTCATGTCGCTGGCTGCAAAGCATGCGAAAAGCTGCACATGGGTATGTGAATTTGAGCTGCCACAAGGCATTGAGAAGGAGAAATTCCAGTCAGCATGGAGTGCAGCTGTTGATGCAAACCCTATTCTCCGAACTCGTATCGTGCAGCTAGAGAGTGGGGGCATGTATCAAGTAGTTCTACGAGAGGGGATCCAGTGGGATTCGCGTGAGCTAGGAGACCCTATCCCGATAGACTGGCTCAATGAAAAGAAGCCAGGACAACCTCTGATTCGCGTTGCGCTTAGCATTTCCACAGCCCCCAGTACGGGAAGGTTCTGTTTTACCTTGATGCTTCATCATGCTATTAAAGATGATCGGTCGCTACAACTTCTGCTCGAGCAAGTGGAAGCTGCATACAACGGAGCAGACTTGGCCTGCCAACCATTTAGCACTTTTATTCGATATTTAGCGCGATCTCCTGACGAAATGGATCACTTTTGGAAGACACATCTGAGCGACTTGAACGTGGTTCATTTCCCCAAACTTCCATCTCCCGGATACTGTCCCAACCCGTCTGCCCAGATTACGTGCACAATTCCACTTGAATCTAGTCTTGGATCTAAAGAAGATATTTCAGCAAAAGTACAATTATCCTGGGCTATGTTACTGAGCTACTATACCCACAGCGCGGACGTTGTATTCGGCATAGTACATTCAGGGCGCAGTGCTCCGGTGTCGAGGATTGAAGAGTTGACTGGGCCTACTGTGACCAGCCATCCTGTAAGGCTTCTGCTGTGCTCGGATGACATGATATCCGACGCAATCGGGAAGATTCGAATCCTGGCCAACGAAAGATCACCTTTCCAGCATGCTGGCTTGCAGCGCATCGGTCGCATCGGCCCGGATCCTGCGAGCGCTTGTCAGTATCAAAGTACCTTGACCATTCGACCAGGGAGCACCAAGGTTCCCGCGATGTTTCAGCAGAGTCACATCTTATCGCAGGATAATCCTTTGGCCCCCTATGCATTGAATCTGGATGTCCAACTCCAACCGGGAGACTTATTGGTACATGCGAGTTTCGATCCACAAGTCATGCCACAAGCTGAGGTAGAAACTATGCTTCACCAGCTTAGACACATATTCCGCCAAGCAGAGCTTCATCCAAATCACTGCTTAAAGGATATTAGCTTGACCAGCCCGGAAGATATGTCGCGGTTACGGGCCTGGAATGGGGACTTACCCAAAGGCTTGGAGGTTTGCGTGCACGAAGCAATCCAAGAGCAGTGCCTGGCGCAGCCCAACTTTCCAGCAGTCTCTGCGTGGGATGGTAGCTTTTCATATTGTGAGCTTGATGCTCATTCCAATCTTCTTGCAAATACGCTGTCTGACTACAAGGTCGGTCCGGACGTCTTTGTTCCTGTGTATTTCGACAGGACCCGTTGGACTACCGTTGCCATGCTCGGTGTTCTCAAAGCAGGTGGTGCCTTGCTGCTGATGGATCCATCCCACCCAGTTGAGCGCCTACGAGAGATTTGTCGGGATGCAGATGCTTCCATAATCCTCGCCTCAACTGCTACCAAGGATCAGGCTAGTCAGCTAGGGCCAACGGTTGTAGCAGTCGGCGATCATGAAGTACATTGGAGGCTGTCCAGTCCGACAGCACAGGTCGCAAAGGCCACAGCAGAGAATGCGCTGTTTGCCGTTTTCACGTCTGGCTCCACAGGAAAGCCGAAAGGCGCAGTGTTGTCACACCGTTCCTTTCACACGAATTTTCAAGCCAATCGCCTGGCACTTGGCCTTAGTCAACACTCTAGGGTGTTGCAATTTGCGTCTCATGCATTTGATATGAGCGTTGCCGACCATCTCTGGGCCTTACTTGTGGGAGGTTGCATTTGTATTCCATCCCTAGAAGATACGAGGTTCAATCTCGATAAAGCTATCAGCGATTTCAAGGCCAACTGGATTAGTCTAACTCCCTCGGTAGCTAGAACTCTGACACCCAATCGAGTTCCATCGCTAAAGACTCTCATCCTGATCGGTGAGCCCATGACGCCAGGTGATGTTGAAATGTGGCCTTCCACGGTCTCATTGCTCAATATGTACGGACCGGCAGAATGTGCAATCATGACCACCCTCCAGGATGTTCGTCGTTCTCCCATGTTGAATAACATAGGATCTTCAAGCGGTGCCGTGTGCTGGATCGTCGATCCTCAAAACCATCATCGCCTCTTTCCAATTAACACAGTGGGAGAGCTGGTCATTGAAGGTGCTAATGTCGGACGAGGCTACTTGAATCGACCCGATCTCACGGAGGCTGCTTTCATTGAGGCCCCGGCCTGGCTCAAACATTTCCGCTCTATTCCTGGCCGACTTTATAAGACAGGGGACCTTGTTCAATATGCGGCGGATGGCTCCTTGAACTTCAAGGGTCGCAAGGACAATCAGGTGAAGCTTAGGGGGCAACGTATTGAACTGGAGGAAGTAGCGCACAATGTACAGCGGACCTTCCCTGGGGCCAAGCAAACTGTAGCCGAGGTGATCAGACCAGAATCAGGGACGAGACCACCCGTCCTTGTCAGCTTTGTATTGCCGATGGAAGAAAATGAGGATCCTAGGTCAGGAAAGAGTCTGTTTGCGCCGGCTGATGGCCAGCTTCGCGAGAATGCTGCCATCGCTATTTCTCGGCTTAAGAACCATATACCTGAATTTATGATCCCGGCCATTTTCATTCCACTACTTTCTCTCCCTCTCACCGCTACCGGGAAACTGAATCGTCGGCTTTTGCGTGAGCAGGCAACGCTTCTCTCGTGGGATGACCTCGCCCAATATGCTGAGGAAAGCACTGTCAAGCGGGCCGCTTTCACTGATGCACAGAAGATCTTACAGGAACTATTTGCGCAGGTATTGAAGCTTTCCTCAGAAGATATCGGGATCGATGACAACTTCTTCCGCCTTGGGGGAGACTCAATTTCCGCTTCACAGCTAGTCGCGGCAACGCGAGATGCAGGATATTCATTGACAGGAGCGGATCTATTTAACACTCCAAAACTGTTAGATCTAGCGGAAAAGCTGAAGCCAGCTGTGGACAATATGGGAGACGACATTCCAGTGTTTTCTCTACTTCCAGATCACATAAGGCATCAAGAGATTGTACCAATAATAGCTGCTGGGGCAGGGGTTACGCCGAGCCAAATCGAAGATGTGTACCCTTGTACCCCAATGCAAGAAGGTTTGATGGCGCTGTCCATGAAACACCCTGGTACATACGTGGAGAGCTTCACATATGACTTGCGAGAGGAAGTAGAGCTCGATCGCTTCCGGGCTGCATTCGATTCGGTCGTCGCAGCCAACTCCATCCTGCGCACTCGAATGACCTATGTCGAGAACGAGTGTTTCCAAGCGGTTATACGTGAAGAAATCCCATGGGGGATATACCAGAGCCACCAAGCCTTCCTTCAGGGGCGCCAAATGGATCCGATGGGCCCGAATCAGCGGCTGGTTCATCTTGACCTGATATCCTCTCCCCCCTGCTTCATCTTGACGATGCATCACGCTTTGTATGACGGTCAGAGTTTGCCAGTGCTTTGGAATCAAGTTATCTCTGCGTATCAGGGTTCTGTGTTAGAGCCCCGTCCATTCAATCGCTTTCTGGCCTATCTGACGCGAGTGGAGGAGCCAATCGAGTTCTGGCGATTGCAGTTCCAGAATCTGAACGCACCCATATTCCCAGGCCTTCCTTCACCAGGGTATACTCCGAGCCCAAAGGGTGCCTTGACTCATACCATTACCTGTCTTCCCAAAGTAGAGACGGAGCATACTTTGTCGACTTACATTCGCTTGGCCTGGGCGTTGGCCCTCTCGCAATACACTGATTCAAGTGATGTCGTTTTTGGCATAATCGTTGATGGTAGAAGAGTACCTTTCGCTGGTATCGACCAAGTTTCCGGGCCCACATTATCGTCGTATCCATTGAGAGTAAGGATCAACAGAGACGTCTCCATTAACTCGATGTTGTCGAACCTTCAATCTCAGACAACGACGGCCATTCCTTATGAGCATGCTGGTTTGCAAAACATTCGCAAGTGGAGTCACGAAGCCGCATTGGCGTGCGACTTCCAATGCCAGCTCGGGGTTCAGCCGGAGTTAGAGCCTGCAGAGAGTCCTCTCGGTATCGCCAGAGGAGAAAATGCACTGGATTACCGTGCGTTTTCGAGCTATGCTTTTGTAATGGTCTGCCACCCACGACGCACTGGCAACGAGCATAATATCACGGTCGCTACTACCTACGATCCCGAAATTGTCAGTCGGCATGAAGCAGAAAAGATAGTAGCGCAATTTGACTACCTTTTGGGACACCTCCTACGGCATCCCCAGCATAAGATCCAGGATGTTCCCTCCCTGCGGCCATCTGACTTGCAGCAACTAGATCAATGGAACGGAGGGCTGCCTTCTTCATTTGATCGATGCTTGCATGAACTGGTCCTCGGACACTGCACAACCCAACCCTATGCAGAGGCTGTATCGGCATGGGATGGGAGCTGGAACTATCAAGAACTCGAATCCTTGTCATTGCGACTGTCTCTGTTCCTTCGAAATAATGGGGTGGTTGCTGGTAGCATTGTCCCTGTTTGCTTTGAGAAGTCAAAATGGGCTATACTGGCAATGCTTGCAGTGCTTCGTGCAGGCGGAGCGGTCACTGCAGTTGACCTCAAACACCCTAGAGACAGAATCTCACGGATCGTGGAGCAAGCAAACCCGGTCATCATTCTAGCCTCTGAAGGAACTAAGCATATCTTTGCTAGTGAACGAGTCCCAGTGCTCACCGCACCTTTTGAGGAGCTCCTCTCTCCTGCAGACTCAATTCTGGACTCTGTAGTTGCGCCGAATGACCCGGCTTTTCTCGTTTTCACTTCCGGCTCCACAGGCAAGCCTAAAGGCATTGTGATGGAGCATCGGCATCTCAGTACCAGCATCAAATACCACTCCGAGCCTCTCAGAGCTTCCAAGGGGGTCCGCGGCCTTCACTTTGCTTCATATGCGTTTGATGCCAGTATTTATGAAATTTTCACGGTACTCTGTAACGGGGGGTGTGTTTGTATCCCTTCCGAGGCAGAGCGTTTGAATGGGATTGAGCAATTCATTGAGAGGCACAGCGTTAATTGGGCTGTATTTTCACCATCAACCTTCCGAGTTCTACACCCGGATCGTGTGCCCACCTTACAGACCGTTGTTCTTGGAGGAGAGGCATTGACTCCGGACATCGCGAGACAGTGGGGACCCCGGCTCAATCTCATCAATGGGTACGGTCCTGCAGAGGCGACAATATGTGCTGCTGGCCGTGTCGATGATGATTGGAAAGTCGGCAACATTGGCCCTATTACTGGAGGTGTGGGATGGATTACTTTTCCCTCAGACCCCAACCGGCTGGTTCCTATCGGCGCCATAGGTGAGCTAATCATTGAAGGCCCAGTGGTTACTCGAGGTTACCTAGGCGATGTCACCGGGGGTTATATTGAACCTCCGATATGGCTCAAGCAATTTCGCAAAGGCGGGCCAGGGCGTGTGTATCGCACTGGAGATCTAGCTCAGTATACCAAAGACGGATCGATCCGCTTCATGGGCCGACGGGACACCCAGGTAAAGCTCCGTGGACAGCGGATCGAACTGTCCGAAGTTGAATACCTCGTGCGAACATCTTTTGATAATCTGAACGTGGTCGCAGAGGTCATGCCCGTGCCTGGACACGAAGGCTCTACTATGTTGGTAGCAATCATCGAAGAGAAGAACGAGATCTCAAACCCGACTGCTGAAGTATTCTGTCCGCCATCGGAGATCTTCAGATCTCGGTCTCGAGCCGCTGCAATGCAGCTAGAGAGGCTGGTACCCGCATATATGGTTCCATCAGTCTTTCTGCCACTCCCTCATCTTCCCTTCACCACTGGAGGTAAAGTCGACCGTAAGCGACTTCGTCAGGCAGTGTCGACTTTGACCTTAGAGCAAATGAAAGCCTACAGCTCGCCAGCCTCTAGTCAGATTCGGCGACCATCGACAGCTGTGGAAAAGGCTCTACATAAAATATGGGCGGATGTGTTGAAAAGGGAACCAGACAGCTTTGGTGTGGAGGAAAGCTTCTTTAGCCTAGGTGGTGATTCGATCAGTGCGATGCAAGTGACTTCAAAATGTAGCCACGCTGGACTACAGATTACCGTGGAGCGCATCATGCGGTTCAAGAACATCCTGCTCCTTAGCAGTGGGCTTCAACTCTCTGCCGCTGCCCGTCGTCCACAACATGCCCTTGGCGTCGATACCAACACGCCCTTTCCTCTTTCGCCTATCCAGCGACTCTTTCTCGAGAGGACCAATTGCAAATATGACATGTTCGTCCGAAGCATCACCTTGTGCTTTCAAAAACCAACTTTATCTTCGACATTGTTGAATGCCATTCGGTTACTTGTGCAGAGACATTCTATGCTCCGAGCGAGATTTTCTCAAGGCGACGGTGGGCAATGGCTTCAGAGTATCTCCACTGATGCAGATGCCAGCTTTCGCTACCAGAAACACGACTCTATCCCTTCTCTGGCCGATGCGAGTATGATCTGTCGGTCAAGTCATAGAGTGATTAACATTCTAGAAGGCCCCATTTTCGTGATTGATCACATTACCATGGATGATGGTCAAGAGTTGCTCTGTTTGAGTGCCCATCAACTCGTAATTGATAATGTGTCCTGGGACATCATCATTACAGACCTTGACGACCTTCTTATGTCGCGCTCTCCATCTCCAGCTGCTCCACTACCTTTCTCGGTCTGGGTTCAAGCCCACTCGGAACACGGTAAGACACTAAACTATCCGGATTCAAGTGCTGACAAGCTTGCCTTCTCAAAGTCTCTGGACTACTGGGGTCTCACAGGAATGGTCGACGGTTGGGGTGATATGAATAAAACAACATTCTGCATACCTGCAGAACAAACAAAAGCACTTCTGGGTGGAGCGAATCAAGCGTTTCAAACAAATCCTGAGGAGCTGGTTCATGCTGCGCTTTTATATTCTTTCGCTCGGGTATTCCCTGACCGAGATTTGCCTATCATCTATAGCGAAGACCAAGGGCGTGGCCAGGAAGACCCTGCCCTTGATCCAGCTCGCACGGTGGGCTGGTTTGGAGATGTTTGGCCGGCCCATATAGACGTGAGAGGCGACCATGACTTGGTCGAATACGTGCGGCGAACTAAGGATGGCCGGCGACAAGCGGAGAGATTATACCAACGACAGTATCTGGCCGCTCATTGCTCCAACTCTACCGAGGGCAAATCATCTGAATCTGTTGATTGGATTGAGGTCTTATTCAATTTTGACAAGCTCGTAAAACGACAAACATCGACTTATGACCGGTTCCAAAAGTCGTATAACGGTTTTTCCTTGGATGATCTCGCCACAGAGACTACCAAGTTTTCGTTATTCAGTACCTCGGCTGCAGTGAGCAATTCACAGTTGGAGATCAGCATTTCATCGCGCCGTCACATGAAGTCACCGGATGCCGCCGGTATATGGGCTCGTGCATGCGAAGAAGCCCTATTGAAGATCGCATCTCATCTGCCGTCTAGGACACCAGCGCTCACATTATCGGACGTGCCTTTGTTAGGCCTGAGCTACAAGCAGTTGGATAACTTCCAGAAACATCTCTCTACATACTTCACCGAAAAAGGGATCCAGGTAGTAGACGCATATCCATGTAGCCCCGTGCAGGAAGGAATGTTGATCAGCCAGGCAAAATATTCTGGCGACTATATGAACCTGGTGCCTTGGAGGTTTCAATCACGGGATGGCCAGGCTGCGGTAAATATTGCTCGACTTATGCGTGCCTGGCAGCAGGTAATTGACAAGCATCCTCTGCTACGGACGGTGTTTCTCAGCAGTTTCCGCGACGACGGGTCTATAGACCAAATTGTTCTCAAAGAATATCATTGTGATATTAAGGTGATTCAATCGTTCACAATGGACCCGCTAGAAGCACTCGCGCGCTACAAGTCTCTCCCGATGTCGCCGGCATGCCCTCCTCATAGACTAACCATATGCTACTCGGACAATGGCGAGGTAGCAGGTTTGTTCGATGTCAGCCACGCCATCATAGACGGGCTGTCCTATCAGGTTCTTCTAAGAGATCTTCAGCTGGCGTACGATGAGATATTGACATCTGCCACGGATCACGCATACCGAGACTACGTGAATTACGTGAAGGTACAAGACATGGACTCAGCAAGACGCTACTGGAAACAATATCTCAACGGTCTTGAGCCTACGTTATTCCAAAGTCTTCACATTGAGAATAGCCGTGAGGCTGTGCCTAAAGGCGAAACTGGCTGCGTGAAATGCTCACTGCCCGAGGTTTCCTCCATTGAAGCATTTTGTCAGCTTCATGACGTGACCATGTCAACCGTTTTTCAGATGGCATGGGCGATGGTGCTCAAGGCCTATACAAGGTCCGATGATGTTTGCTTCGGATATCCTACGGCTGGAAGAGATGTAGCCATTGAGAATATTCACGACGCTGTCGGCCCGTTTGTCAACATTATGATATGTCGAGTTACATTTAGCCGTGATAAGACTTTACTTGATTTGCTTCAGCGATGCCAGGAGGACTTTGCAGAAAGCCTGAAATTCCAATATTGCCCCCTGGCAGATATCACGCACCAACACAATCACAATTTGCACCCAGGCTCCGCGCTGTTTAACACTGCTCTATCCATTCAAAAGGAGGTCGCGAGCTACTCCGCGCCAGCGGCATCACTCAACCTTACAGAAGGCGAGATGGATGCTACCACTGAGGTAAGCCCCTAGATTAACTGTTCCCAGGCCCTACCACAGGCCCTACCTTTTCTACCTGCTCTTGTGCCATTCACTAACATCCATCGTATAGTATGACGCAATGATTGGAATCAATATCTCACAGCAAGACGTAGGCCTCGAGCTACAATACCACAAATCCTTATGGACAGACACCCAGGCCGGATATGTCCTGGACGCTTTCTGTCAGGCTGTCAAAAGAGTGACGCTTAACTCCTATTTGACTGCAGACAAGATACCCCTGCTCGGAGGAGCCTCTGAGGCTCTAGTACAGAATTGGAACGATAATGCCGTGCATAGCCTGTGCAGACCTGGGAAGCAGACAATGTCTGACTTGATTTCCGAAACATGCATGTCTCAACCAGAAGCGCCTGCAGTATGCGCTTGGGATGGCGAATTCACCTACACCGAGCTGGATTCGCTTAGTGGACGTCTTGCTGCTGTCCTGGCAGTACAGGGCGTAGGACCGGAGGTATTCGTTCCGGTCTGTTTCGAGAAATCTCGGTGGGCTGTAGTTGCGATGTTGGGGATCATGAGGGCAGGGGGTGCCTTCATTATGATGGATCCATCTCAACCGGCTAAGCGTCTTCAGAACATCTGCGATATATCCAAGGCACACGTTCTCATAGCATCTGAGTCAAGAGCTAGCCTAGCTGCGACTCTTGGTCCCGATGTGGTTGTCTTGGGTAACAATGAGAAACCCTGGAACAATGTTGATGGATCTTTAGTCTCTACACCTGTGCAAACCGCGTCGCCTGAGAATGCGCTTTATGCCGTTTTCACATCAGGTTCTACCGGTACCCCCAAAGGTGTAATTATCGAGCATCGAAATTACGCAGCGCGTATTTACGACGAAATAGAGGCATACGGGCTGACAGCAGAATCTAGATTTCTGCAGTTCAGCTCTTACGCTTGGGACGCTTGTGTCTTTGAGCAGCTCCCTGTCTTGGTGTGTGGTGGTTGTGTGTGTATTCCCTCGGATATTGAACGGCGACAAAACCTCTCAGAGGCTGTGACAAGACTGAGAGTCAACTGCGCGGTGTTTACGCCACCAATGGCCCGGAACCTAAACCCAGACGATTTCCCAACTTTGAAGACACTACTGATCGCGGGCGAGCGTGTGCTTGAGAAGGAAATCCGCTTATGGCAGGGCCGAAATTTACAAGCTCTGTATGGCCCAGCCGAATGCACGCCATGCTCTGCAAGGAGCCAGGCCCTTCGGGATCCGGCTCCCATGGGCATCATAGGAATACCGCTCAGTTGCAGATTGTGGGTTGCCGACCCTGACAATCATGAGATTCTTTTGCCCATCGGCGCTACCGGTGAGCTGCTGATTGAGGGGCCCCAGGTCAGCCGCGGTTACTTGCATGAACCAGAGAAGACGAGGGCGGCATTCATTGAGCCTCCTCCATGGTTGCAGGGCAGACATAGAAGTGATTTTAAAATTTATAAGACCGGTGATCTCGTTCGCCATATTGGTGATGGACGCCTGGTTTACATCGGACGAAAAGACACACAGGTCAAAGTGCGTGGCCAGCGTATGGAGCTGGGAGAAGTGGAATCCCAACTACGCCAGGTCTGCCAGGACTTCGATGAGGTTGTAGTCGGACTTATCGAACCGACAGAGGTTGATCGCCGCTCTGCGTTAGTTGCGTTCCTGTATCAGTCTGCCGATGTAGGTCACGACAATGATGCAGGAAACGCGGACCTGACAATGTCCTATGATACAACCCTGTTTGCTTCCGCATCTACCTCATTCCATGGCCGTGTCAAGGATCTGAATAGAGCTCTCCAACAAACACTGCCAGCGTTCATGGTGCCTGAATTTTTCGTACCTTTACGTCAAGTGCCTTTGAATACCAATGGCAAACTCGATCGAAAAAGGCTATCACAGAATGCGTCCTCACTTTCATGGGAAGAGTTGCAAGCCTATACTGCCCCTCTAGAGGATAGGATCCAGCCATCTACTGAGAATGAAAGGCAGTTTCAAAGACTTATAGCCGAAGTCTTGCAACTACCTCTCGAGAGGATCGGAATGCAGGATAGCTTCTTCCGACTGGGAGGAGACTCCATTTTAGCAATGACCCTCATGGTGAAGACGAGAGAGGCAGGTTATCATATCACAATGGCCGATATATTCAATCACTCAGAGCTCCGCGACCTAGCAGCAGCGGCAGCATCAGCAAGTACCACCGAGAATCTCCTAGAGGACTCAGCTCTTCTCCCATTTTCTCTCCTCCACGGGGTAGACAGTGTTGATCTTTTGATCAAGCAAACCGCCCAGACTTGCAATATACCAGAAGCTAGTATCGAAGACATATATCCATGCACCGCATTGCAAGAGGGGCTAATGGTGCTGTCCACGAAGCTATCCGGTCATTACATTGAGCAGACACGATATGAATTGCACTCAGATATCGAGCTCGATCGATTCAAATCCGCATGGGACTCGACCGCTAGAGCAAACCCTATCCTCCGCACCAGAATCGTTCAGTTCGAAAATAATACGATGAATCAGGTCGTGATGCGAGACATACCACGATGGCATCATTTCGATAATGTTGATTTGTTAAAAGCCCACCTTGCAACGAGCACTATGGGGTTGGGAGATGCGTTGGTTGGTCTTTCAATCGTCAAGCCATCTGATGATTCGCAGAATTATCTATTCTTCCTGACATTACATCATGCTGTGTACGATGGTTGGTCCCTGCAGCTTCTTTGGAAGCATGTCCAATCTGCTTACGACGGAAAACGCTTTGCCTCAGCCCCCTTCAACTGCTATATTCGTCATGCTATTGACAGCACAGCCGGGGCTGAGGAGTTTTGGGCCTCGCAGTTTGAAAATCTGCAGACTCCAGTCTTCCCTAGCCTGCCTTCTGCGCGATATGTGCCCACCCCAACTTCGGCATTCGAGCACGCAATCTCAACCCGCTTTCAACCACACAACAGCGAATATACACTATCGACCATGATACAGCTGGCTTGGTCTATCGTTCTGTCATCTTATACTGACTCGGATGACGTGTTGTTTGGTATGACTGTACACGGGCGCAATGCAACGTTCCCAGAAATCGAGAACACGACGGGCCCGACCATCGCGACAGTCCCCTTCCGGGTGCAGCTCGATTCAAAAAGCGCGGTCCAGGATTGTCTCTTCTCCTTGCGCAAGCAGACGACAGCAATGATACCGTTTGAACATCTTGGTCTTCAGAGAATTGGCGCATTGAGCTCAGACGCCGCAGCAGCTTGCAATTTCCAATGCCACATCGGCATCCAGCCTCCATCATCTGGCCCTATCAGCCCAGGGCTAGTAAAGAGCGAGACAAGCTTGCACGATAGCTACTCTGCGTTTTCCAACTATTCATTAGTTGTCGTATTCCACCTCAGCGAAAAGGACAAGGGCAGCATCGTGGCGAATGTGATTCACGATAACAAAGTCATTTCTTCAGCAGCGGTGAAACGAATGATCCATCAATTTGAACATATCCTGAATCAGGTCATTGAGGGCCCAGAAACCATTCTTGATAGCCTCGATATGATATGTCCCCAGGATAGAGTACAACTATCCGAATGGCACGAATCTCTCCCTCTAGCACATGAAGATTCTGGTCTACATGACCTTGTCCTCTCGCATACTGCACGACAGCCCCGCGCATCTGCAGTCCACGCTTGGGATGGGGTAGTCAGCTATCTGGAGCTTGATAATATGTCCTTGCGATTGGCAAAGCGGTTGCAGGCGCTTGGAGTCCAGCGCGGTTCAATGGTACCTTTGTGTCTAGATCGATCGAAGTGGGTAATTATATGTATGATTGCCGTCATGCGAGCTGGAGGGGCTTGTGTCATGCTCGATCCCAGTCACCCTACGGAACGAATGGAAGACTTCCTAAGACGTACGGAAGCGAAACTTGTGCTCACGTCTTCTAGTTATCAAGACCGGTTTTCCAGCACACAGACGACCGTCCTCCCTGTCCCGGCGGTACTTGATGGCCCAACCGTCGACTGGTCAGTTCCTGAGTGGGATCCGATAGATCCTGCATTTATCGTCTTTACATCGGGCAGCACAGGGAAGCCCAAAGGTATCTTAATGAACCATTCGGCCTTCTGCACCAGCATCCGGCATCATACCAGCTCATTAAATATCGAACCCGGAGAGACTCGAGGGTTACACTTTGCTTCATATGCGTTTGATGCTAGCATATATGAGATCTTCTCTGTTCTTGTCAATGGGGGTTGCGTCTGCATTCCATCTGAAGCAGATCGGACTAGTAACCTCTCTGGCTTCATCAACGCATCGCAAGTGAACTGGGCCATATTTACTCCAACCGTGCTCAACAACCTACTTCGCCCGGAGCAGGTTCCAGGCCTCCAGACCATTATTGTTGGGGGTGAAGCGCTTACTCAGGACGTGGTGGATATCTGGGCGGACAAGGTAGCCCTGATCAACGGGTATGGCCCAGCTGAAACTACCATCTGCGCTGCGGGGCGAGTCCCCGCCCAGGGATGGTTATCAAGAACGATTGGAAAGGTTACTGGTGGTGTTGGATGGGTTACAATGCCTTCTGATCCTTCACGACTGGCTCCAATTGGCGCTGTGGGTGAGCTGGTGATGGAAGGGCCGGTGGTAACCCGCGGCTACCTAAACGATCCAGAGAAAACCGCCGACGTGTATATCCCAACACCGGATTGGCTTAAACAATTCAGAAATGGGGACACATCCCAAGCTGGTCGTCTTTATAAATCGGGGGATCTGGTTCAATATACCGATGATGGTGGTATTCGATTCTTTGGTCGCAGAGACACCCAGGTCAAGTTGCGTGGACAACGCATTGAATTGGGCGAAGTGGAGTACCAGACAGCTCGAGCTTTCCCAGGCGCGCAGGAAGTGGTGGCTGAGGTTGTCTATCGCAACGGAAATAAACATGATGCGACTCTGATTGTATTCATTACTACGGGCGCTATTGAAGTCTCCGAGCTCTTCGTCGGCTATGATTCCGAATTTGCCGCTAGGGTCCATGTCGCCACGGTTGAACTCAGCAAACAGTTGCCACGGTATATGGTTCCAGCAATCTTCCTTCATGTATCTCGTGTGCCCCGAACGGGCAGTGGCAAGATCGACCGCCGGTCGTTACGCGAACAAGCTGCTACCCGTAATCTCGACGAATTTACAAAAAGCAAGCGAGCTGCTCCCAAGGAACTCACCATGCAGCAAGAGTACCTACTGCGCGACCTATGGGCCGAAACCCTCCAAATCCCAGCGGAGCAAATTGGGGCAGATGACAACTTCTTCGATCTTGGAGGAGATTCCGTCAAGGCCATGAGAATGTCTAATCTAGCTCGGCAGCTAGGCCGTCGGATATCCTTGCTAGACATGTTCAATCATTCCACGCTCTCAGAGCTCGCCCGTGCCACTGAACAGTCACTGCATGACATAGCAGACGACGATTATCACCCAGGATCCTTGCTAGGCATAGCCGATTTAGAAAGCTTCGTAGCTCGTTTTCCTGGATTGCCTACAGCACTTTCTCCTGAAAACGTTGCCGATATCCTGCCCACCACACAACTCCAGAGCTCGATCATGGACGACAAAAATGCTACATACTTTGCTTTGCCTCTGCCCCAAGGTATTGATATAGATCGCCTAGACGAGGCGTGTCGTGTAATGGTTGACCACAACCCAAGCCTTCGTACTATATTGGTACCATATGGAGCCCAATATATCCAGGTCATCCTCCATCGGGTCGATATCCCAATTACCCGGCTAACCTGCGAAGGGGATGATATGGAGGAGTTTATCCAGTCTGTCTGCGCTCAAGACTATACCAACCCCATCCCCGCAGAGGTGCCCCAGGTAAGGTTCTATCTGATTTCTCACATTACTGGGGTCCATCAAAGGCTAGTGATCAGGGCGTCGCATTCTTTGCTCGACTTTGTCTCGGCAATTCTATTCTTGAAGGAGATCTCGATGGCATACGACGGTAAAGATCTTCCGTCCCCGGCCCCCTCTTTCGCACGGTACTTGCAATATCGCTTGTTGAATCGTCCCTCCGACACAAGTCAATTTTGGCGAGACTACTTGCACAACTCACAGATTACAGTCCTCAAAGGACGCAAAGACCACCATGCCTTACCCATGTCCAATCATACGCCCACACGTCCGACAGCGGTGTTCAAGGAGATCCCACTCCCAATAATGAAAGAGGGTGTAACGATGGCCACCTTGACGAAGGCCGCTTGGGCCCTTGTCCTTGCACAGGTGACTGGCCAAGACGACGTTCTCTTTGGACACGTGTTGAACGGCCGAGAGCTGCCCATTGTCAATGTCGAGGAGGTTCCAGGACCCTGTATCACTGTCTCGCCACTCCGGGTCAGCATCCAGCGTTCGTGGACCGTGCAAAGCCTGCTTCGGCATGTTCAACAACAATATAAGCGAGCGATGCCCTTCTCCAGCGTGGAGTTTTACGAGATCAAACGGATGATGGCACCTCACTGGTCCCCCGACGCCAAGCTCTGTAGTGTTTTCACCCACCAAAACGAGGGTGTCAAACGTACAGTTCCCTTCCAGGGTGTGGAGTGCCCCGTAGAGATGTTCCAACATAACACCTCTACCCCGTTCCATGTCGTTACTGGGCCCCAAGGAGATAATCTTCTCATTGCCTTGTCAGTGATAGATCCGGCCATCTGTCAAGAGGACGTTGATGATTTGGCGGAGAAGCTAGGCGCGACAATCAGTAAACTTGCTGCTGATTACTCGGTCACGATTGACTTTTAGTGAGCATTTTTTTTAACAGCGTTATACATTTGTTTTCCGTTTTGTTTTCCTTTGTTTTAATTAATGACATTGTTATAATGTTGGATTCGATGTTTTCCTACTTAACCAAACCACGCAACAATCCCTCCCCGACCTACCTTAGTGCCTTAAGAGGCTACTAATGTGAGATATAAAAGCGAATTTACCAGATTTACCCACGATGAGGTGTACGCCCTCAGTATTTTTATAATAATAATAATTATAAAAAAATAAGGTGCAAAAAAAAACATACAACAGCCGGGATTCGCTGGTGGTCACCCACCCAACTACTAACCGGCCGGCGTGTGGCTTGAGTACGGCTGAGCGGACGGGAAGCCCTATTTTCCACACCCTGTGGTCGTATGTGGCGGATGTTTTCAAGGCTAGCTTTATATTGTAACATACACCACCACCGAGTGATCCTTTTCTGCTCCGGTTTCCACCACTGAGACAAATTCTAGGGCCTTTATCAACAAAGTTCTATCTGGAGCGCCTCTTCTTCTCTTTAATTAATGGGTAAAGCCTTCACGGGTTGGAGTAATCCGGCCAAGCCACTAGGCGATCACGTGGCTCGTATAGATCGGTGTTTATTTGTTTTCTGTTTCTATATACGTTCACGTAAAGAAGATCTAGACCCATGTCATCAACATGCTTGGCAACGTTGGCTTCAGCCAGTCTACGGCGTGAGCGAGCCCGCAGGAGTGGAAAGAGGTGGTTTGGGGGGAGAAAGACTGTTGAATAGTTCGGGGGGAGCGAGATTCTTAGGAAGACCAAAAGCAGAAAAAATCTAATAGACAGCTAGCTATTACAGAGGGCTTATCTCTCCATGAGGGCCAAAAACGATTCCAGCGCGATAAGATTCAGGAAGCTTAGGATACTATCTCTATAGATCCAGCACTTTTTGTAGTTGGGCCGCACATACAAGCGCCACCGCAGTATTCTAATAAACCAGCACTCACGCTATGTAAACCAACCACGAGTACAGTCTGCACATGTACTCTCCTATACACGGACAGAGAACAACTGTCCTTTGACAGTCCTTAGCAGTTGTCTTCCCCCATCACTGACCGCCAAGGATCGACTCGGCAATCTTCTCAGCGAACATGTCTAGCAACCATTTTGTTAGTCCCCAACCTTCTTCAGCGGGGTTTGTCTTTCTCAAATCTGGGAAAATACGTACACACAGTGACCATCGGAAATGTTGGAGGCACAAGAGGAAAAGCACCGGCGTCAACGACCCGGAGGCCGGTCACCCCGCGCACCCGGGCCCGAGAGTCCACGACGGCGGTGGTATCATTGGAAATACCCATCTTGCCTAAATATCACACGAGCCATCAGTTGGGCAATGCTCACCTACCAGGGGATAAGCCCCTAAATCTTACAGGATGATGTAGCGTGGTAGATCAGACTCATGTTATCCTTGAGCCACTCCAGGATCTCCGTGCGAGTCGTCACATTGGGGCCTGGCAGATATTCTTCCTCGACAATGGTACTGTTGAATGCGATCTCTCTAATGCGCTGCAATGCAGCAATGACCTGTTCTTGATCACCCTCGTCCAGGAGCCAGTTGGGGCTGATGATCGGGGGGATCGGTGATATCCGCGCTCTGGATGGTCAGATTGCCCCGGACAGAGGTGGTGAGTAGGGTCGAGCCGGTGGTGAGGTAGTTGTCATCGGGACCCAGGTCCGACGGGTAGGAGCCATACTCCAAGGAAAGATAGTTGGCCTCGGGCCAGTCACTCGGGAACGTGTCGAGGAAGTCCCGGTTGGATTGGCTGAATTCCTGACGGTGTAAGAGGCAGGAAAAACTTCTCAAAGGCCAGAGCTTGGCCTCCTCCGATGCTAGACAGTAGACCCGTTTGGTTGGTCAGATATTCTTCCACTCGGGCAGCAGAGAACTCGGCATTGCCGGCAGCCACTTGAGTGACGGTGGTCACATTGACCTTATATGACAGGGCCATCCACGGTTGATCCTTTAATTGACATATGCCAGACGCATTAGCTTCTTGCTCTTCTTATCGTCCACTTTTTGAAAAGCAAAAACTCTCACCCTCGCCCCCTGACCTACTCCGGACAGGTCTGCTACAATGGGGATGTTGTACTTTTGCAGAGTCTCTCTGATGGGCCAACGCCGGACAGCATCAGGATTTGAGGAGAGTGCCACTGATAGATCTGGGTGAGTATGGGAAACAACACAAGGTCACAGGATCGAAAATTGACTTACGGTACCAGCAGAGACAATGACCTCTTTGTTCGCATTGAGATGATACTTGAATTTCGACGTCGACGAGTTGGTCTGCACCTCGACACCCGTGGCCTGCTTGTTCTCATCGAATAGAATCCGAGAGCCCAGGGTCTGTGGATACAGTTTAGTATTCGAGTGCTGTGCCGCCAGCTGCAGGAACGAGGTTTCGGAGCTGCTGCGAGTTGCTTCCTCTGGATCAATGGCAGTCATGATCGTGGCATAACCAATCAGCCGCCCACTGTTGAATCCGGGGAGACGTTCAAAGCCGAGCTTGTCGAGAGATTCTTCCAGATACGGACCGTACGGACCGAGAGAGTTGCCGTACGATACTTGGAGAGGTCCCCCGGTGCTCTCAAAGGCCGACACATCGTAAGAAATGTTGAAGGACGGATCGATCTTGTTGTAGTTGGGCGCCGTGAAGTTACAGCTCTTTTTGTACGCGGGATACACATTTTCCCAGGACCAGAGATCATCGTCAACAATCTTAGACCATTCATCAAATGTGCCCTCAGTGGCGCGCGCATACCCCATGTAATTGGAGGCCGAGCTTCCGCCAAAAGTCTGCCCGGCAACATACAGGATCTCGCGTCCATTGTAACTCTACATACACATGCATATCAGTTAACTAAAACCAAATCAAAATGCTTTACTCGTACCAGTGCGGACGTACTTACCCCTTGAGGTGCAGTTGTCAGGCCGAAATTGGTCAGGGATTCGAAAGAGCCGCCCACAAAGTTGGCCAGCGCCGAGTAAAAGTCATAGCCGGGTCCAGGGCCAGTCGGGCGGCAATCGCATTACCTGCCGTGCCTCCTCCGACCACGATATAATCATAGGTGGCATTCTCCCCAGGCAGGCCAAAAGAGTTGCCGAACAGCTCCGTGACGCCATTAGGAGAAAGACCTACGCCGATAGTGGCCAGGGTAGTGGGAAGGACGCACAGAGCATAGAGGAGGGCGGCCATAGTATCTGAGTTGTATTGTATATACAAGTCCGCACCTTTTTCTGGTTTCGTGCAGATCTTAGCGGCAGATGCCTGCATTAAGCCTGGCGGATAAGAGAATTATTGGTGGTATAAATCCCCCAGAAGTCGACTCGAGGAGGTTATCATCCTTTCGGTGATTTCGGCCCGAGTTGCTTCTGGCCACCGAGAATGAATCCTCCGGCTGATGGCATAAATAAGGAGATGGCGGGGAAATTGCAATAGTCCAGTATACGAGTGCGCGCATTCTAGTCTATCAACCATGGCACTAACAATGCGGAATCAACTGAAGGCGGCCCTACACCTACTCAGCGCCCTGGGGGACGTATCACACTTGGGGGCGGACCGTCCCTGGATGGCTCATTGTCCCACCTCCTGACGGCTCTTCATGGATCAAACCTACCCTATATCCTGCCTGGCACCAAGTCTCCACTGCGGACGCGTATCACGGGAATCGCCTGGCCCATTGATTATCTCCTGGATATGCTCCTGGTCTTTTTCTGGGAACCCATCCGGCCACTTCTGCCATTGGCATTTACTTCCTGGCGCAGTATCTTAGCGTGCTGACAGGGATTTATGTGGATAGTACGAGACGGAGCCAATCCGTTGGGTGAGTCGTGCGCCTCTTCCTGGTTTTGTTTAGATTAGTAGGTTCAATCTATTGACAGACACACAGGACGACGCTCTGGCTCCTGCTGTTCCAAATGCCGGCTATCGCGTGTACCGGTCCGTTCTGGGCTCTCTGGTACCTTGCCAACAGCCCTCTGGTCACCTATGACAAGCGCTACCCCTCTTTCATTCGAGGAATTGCGCATCCGATCCGGCGCCCCGCCCCGCCAAATCATGCTGGTTCTTCCCAGTCTTATAACCGGAAAAGGGAGTAGAGAGGACGACAATAGGCTCGGGCCATCCGGGCCGATGTGGATAGGAAATGGACTATGTTGAATTAGGCAAGTAAAGATGCTCCAGGCTTCACTAGTGTCCGAAGCGATAGATAGCGTCGGGGAATGTGACCCGAAACTAAGTAAAATGAAGCATGCAGGCGCCACGTACATCCCCACCCATCGTACCGTTTCTCCTGGCCCATGAACATGGTCTAATACCATGCTACCGATGTGCATATTCTCCCTCTTGAAACATCTAAAAAAGTAACAAAAGCACCAGGGCCAACCGGAGTAGGTTGCAATGCCGAGTTGTCGGCCCGAAGGAAATTCATGCCTTGTTCATTTCCCCTGTACATGCAGAGCTTTCAAAATCTCATCTGTGATGGCCATAAGGCTGATTAATTACAAATCAATGGGACAAAAGAAAACCTTTCAACCTGTAACTTTTACCCCTTTCTAAACAACCGCGCTCCCTTGAACAGCTGGACAAGCTATTCAGCCCTATTCTGCAATTATACCGTTGCATCTGTACTTACTGTCATACCGTCATCATCATCATGCCGGCCCCCTACACTACTCATACCACTACCGATGAACTCGTCTCTGATTACGCCCCGTTGATCAAAGACAAAGTCATTCTGACCACGGGCGTCTCCTCGGGCTCCTTGGGTGGCTTCTTCGTCCAAGCCATCGCCAAGGCCAAACCTGCGTGGCTCATCCTAGCCGCCCGCAATGCCGACAAGCTGGCCCAGATGGCCGCGGATATTGCCACAGCCCAGCTTGAGGTCCAAGTCCGCACGCTCCAAGTTGACTTGGGTTCCCTGAAAAGCGTGCAGGAGGCCGCCGCGCAGGTCAACAACTCCTGGGATGACATTCCCGTGATTGATGTCCTGGTCAACAATGCAGGAATTATGGCAGTGGACTACCAGCTCTCCCCTGAGGGGTTTGAGTCCCACCTGGCCACGAACCATCTCGGCCCGTTCTTGTTTACCAATCTGATCATGAAGAAGATTGTGGCTGCCAAGGAGCCAAGAATTGTGATGGTCAGTAGCGATGGTCATCGGTTAAACCCATTCCGGTTCCATGACTATAACTTCGATGTAGGTACTTTTTCTTTTCATCCATCTGATGACAGTTGGCTAGAACCACCCCACGGGGAAGAAATGCTGAGTGAGAAACAACACTAACAGTAATGTACGGATGGGCAGGACGGGAAAACGTACAACCGCTGGTACGCATATGGTCAGAGCAAGACCGCTAATATGCTGTTCGCAATTTCTCTGGCCCAGAAGCTTGGGATCAAATATGATCTCCAGGCTTTCAGCCTCCACCCAGGAGTGATCTGGACCAACCTGGGCAATCATTTGGACTGGAGCGTGGAGCTTGGTGAACTGCGTAAGGGAATATCGAGTTCCTCCCCATGCTCACTCACACACATAGAGAGAGAGTGAGAGAGAGAGAGATACCAGGCCTTCAGAACTGACTAACTCTTGCTAGGGAACGCGGACAAGTCCCTGGGTAACCCGGAAGGGTGGAAGGAGTTCGACGCGAAACCACTGGAAAGAGGAGCCGCAACCCACATCTACGCGGCATTTGATCCATGTCTCAAGGGTATGTTACCTGTTTAAAGGAGAGATGACGGCCCTACAATGTACTGACTGTCGATAGCCAACAACGGGGTCTACCTGATCGACTGCCGTGTTTCCGATCCTCTGGTGGACACGGTCAAACCATGGGCTACCAGCAGCTTTGAAGCCGAAAGATTGTGGCGACTAAGTGAGGACTTGGTTGGGCAGGAGTTCTCCTACTAGGGGTTAAGCTTAAGGCTCTGCTTCTAGGGTCTGACCTCTGTGGTATTGCTCCATTAGTTAGCCGTGAAACACTACTTGAATCAGGTCAGGGTAGATGGCTGGACAGAGGAGCTCTGGCGGTTTTCGAATTTACTGCTACAATAATGCTCAAATATACACACAATTGGTAAACCTTTGTCTTTGTGCCCCTAAATGGACTGGCTGTCATTTTCGCTCAATACAAGTAAACTGAAGTTGTCTTAATGGCGAGTCGGCGACCATCTAAGATCGACTCGGTTAGCTTTTGTCATACCTGTTATCCCCAAATTCGCCTCAAGAGGGATGCATCCAAGCGGTAATCAATAAATGTTGTGATCTCAGGGGAAAGATGGGCAGAATGATGCTGTATCAGCTACACGTACGTAGCCTACTGAGGACCGGATGCCATTCCGATAGATACTTGATTCTATGGATGACTATCTCAACTATCTTGAGCGCTTCTCCTTATCAACTACTAATGGGTGAAGCCTTCAGGGATATTTGGTCTGGTTTGGTTTGGTTACTATTTAACGTCGCTTGGCGGATCACGCGGCAACGTGATCCGCGGCCTCCCTAGGGGCAACTGGTCATGCTACCTAAACAGAAATCTCACTAGAAACTAGACTTGTTAGGCCCAGCCCACGAAACCCGGCCAAACCCGGCCCAACCCGACCCAACCCGCGGGCCTAACAAGTCTAGATAGTATTTAAATTAGTAGCGTTGGCAGAAGTCTTAGTTATAGCAGTAGAGATAAAGCCGATGGCTTTAGTAATCTCAGCAGATAGTATCTCAGAGCTTACAGGAATCATAGAGTATTACTATCTGTAAGCTGGCCAATTTTTCTTAGTATATTAGTAATGTAATAAGACATCCGTGAGAGCTGTGCTTAATTAGGCAGATATTAAAAAAGGCAGAAATAGTCTCTTTCTATATCTCTAGAACTGCAAGGGTATCTGATAATATAGATACAAGAGTAATTCCAGTCTTAATGGATTAGATATCCTTAAGTACTTTACTGTCTATATCTAGATAAGAGCAGAGGCTAGTGTAGATAGTAAAGACATCCATATTTTTGGTATTATAGTTAGGCAGCAGGCGAACGAAAAGGCGGGAGTCAGACAGTTACTTTAGAGCAGGAGTTAAGGCTCTTGCCTTAATACTATTTCTTAAGATATCTACAGCAATAGCAGCGGCCCTAGCAGGAGATGTCTAAGTAACTGTTATATATGTTGACTGGGCAAGACTGGAGGGGAGATAAGAAGAAGAGAGTATAGGAGAGAAGAAAGCCAGAACAGAAACAGAAGAAGAGATAGGTAAAGTCGTGGGTATAGCACTAATACAGATATTGAAGTAGTGCTAGGCTATATCATGCTAAGAGCTTCAAGCATGTTCTGCTGGTAGGAAACAAGGCCCGTATTTTGATGTCAGTATTTATTAAGAAAAGCTACAACAGGGCTGAATATCTTTTAATCTTCAGCAGCTCTAGTAGCAGCTGCAGTAGTTGGCTCTAGCAAGGCAGCCTATAGAGGACCCTCTGGTAGAGAATTAGGTCTTGCCATTGCAATGCCACCGTGACGCGTCATGACACGTGTCGGATACTGTCCGAGCAGCGTAAACGGGGATTGATAGATATCCAATAAGCAGTAGATGTAGCAATACACTTGGGTCTGATCTAAGCACCGTGCTTAGAATGAAAAAGACCTGAAATTCCCTCGCTGCGAACCATAGGGCATGCGGTGTAGGACAACCGTATGTTCCAACACTATGGTCAGGTCACGTGGTTCACGCCTTAGGCTCCCTATAGGCTCTGATATACTATGTTGACGCTGCCTGAATAGGCCTAGCGCTGTTATTCCTAAGCGATTTCTTCTCCGACAATCATGTTGATAGTTTGAAGAATCGCAATAGGAATTCGAGAGCTTTTTCCCCCTCAAGATATTATAAGCTAATCTGGGTGACTCGCAAGGCGGGAGAAGAGCTTGATCTTACTATATCCGCGCATGTATGTCACGACGCCGTGGCTGGATGTTTTGGGGATCTTTTCGTGGTAATACTAGAGGACCATGCCTTTTTTTAGGTGAAGAATTGGGGTTGTCGTGCAAATTTTATCCCTATAATCGATGGCTATAAGCGGCTTCTTTGACACAATAATCATCATATTATCCTAATACAAGATGGTGCACTAGGGCATGCTAGCTGAGATACTTATGATGATTTTACACTCACGTCGGATCTTTCCTATATCCTAGCCTCCATTCTCACCTAGCTTGAATCCTATTGAGGATCTATGGGACTGGATGAAGGACCGGATTGCTAAGCATTATCCTGAGGGGGCTTATAAAGAGATATTTTATGATAACACTGTCCTCGTGGTTGACAACAGTGCCCTCATCGTTATTGACCTTGACTGGATCACAATCGCTACGCTGCTCCTGTCTCGCCTCCTGTCTCGGCCCGTTAGTTGTAATTAGTAGTAAACACAACGGTGTAGTAGAGCTAATTCAATTTCCCAATTCTAGCTAAAGCGAGTGAAGTAATAGCATAAGGATGTTTTGGAACCACATAATCATATTGTATAAGACAAACAATAGCTCATTAGTCGTCATCAACTTCGACCTCCGTAATAATCTCTCCTGCGATAGAACCTTCTTCGAACGGGAACTCCCGACTCGCTTCATCAGCCTCCTTGAACTTCCCTTCCGCGACTAGCTGCGTGACATGGTCAAATATATCTCTCTCTTGATTTTTAAGTCGGACACCTTGGAGATGAAAACCTCCTGCGGCGTTAAGCAAGTTGAGAATGTCGTTGTAACCTTTGCTCGCTGTGGTTCGAGAGTATATATTAGTAATATGAATCGCTGAAGGATGGTGAGACTGAGACTTACCAATTTCTATAATAATGGAAGGTCTGAGACCATACACATGCTCGAAGTCTGGGAGTTCTTCTGCGCGGCGTCGCTCTTGAAACATTAGAGCATCAATCTCGGCTAGGCCACCATGTATAATTGATCTGTTCAATTGCGAGATCCTAGAGCGAATCTCGGAACCTAACTTGGGTCGCGCGGACCGAGTCTGCGAATGACCTTTGGCGCCATGTTCACGGCAGTAATCTCGAAGGAATGCGGCGAAAGCACGCTCTCTGACGCTAAAGAAATGATTTTGGAACGCTAACAGACCTTTGTTCTGAGACTCGAGACGTGTAACTCGAGCATCCAGGTCGGCATTGCGAGCGTCCAGGTTGGCAATGCGAGCGTCCAGGTTGGCAATGCGAGCGTCCAGGTCGGCAATGCGAGCGTCCAGGTTGGCAATGCGAGCGTCCAGATCAGC